TACTTGGGATATTGTATCATTACCTGAAGGAAAAGTACCTATTGGATGTAAATGGATATACAAAATCAAATACAAATCAACAGGAGAAATTTAGAGATTTAAGGCAAGGCTAGTTGCAAAGGGATATAGCCAAAAGGAAGGTATCGACTATCAAGAAACCTTCTCTCCTGTAGTTAAGATGAAAACAGTTAGAACAATCCTAGCTATTGCTGCTGCAAAAAATTGGAACATACACCAAATGAATGTCTACAATGTTTTTCTTCAAGGTGACTTATATGATGAAATCTACATGGAACTACCACAGGGATTTAAGAGTCAGGGGGAGAATAAACCTTGTGTGCAGACTCATTAAATCCCTATGTGGGCTTAAACAAGCCCCTAGACAGTAGAATGCAAAACTAACTGAAGCACTCTTAAATAATCAGTTTCAACAAAGTCAATTTGATCATTCTTTGTTCATCAGAAGAACATCATAAGGGATTATTATTGTATTAGTCTATGTAGATGACATGTTAATAACAGGGATAGCCTAAAACTGATAGTTGAAACAAAAACTGTACTACAACAAAAATTCAAAATGAAAGACCTGGGAGACTTGAAGTATTTTCTAGGCATAGAGTTTGCTAGATCCAAACAAGGTATACTAATGCATCAAAGGAAATATGCATTAGAACTCATATCAGAAGTTGGGTTGTCTGCCGCTAAGCCTGTTGTTACTCCACTAGACACAAACATCAAACTGACAACAAAGGAATTTGATGATCACTGCAACAAGACAAAGAATTCTGGAAGTGAACAACTAGCAGATCAGAAGGCTTACCAAAGGCTAGTGGGAAAACTTCTCTACTTAACTATGACTCGACCAGATATATCATTCAGTGTTCAAACACTAAGTCAATTTCTTCAACAACCAAAAAGGTCTCATATGGAGGCAACATTAAGGGTTGTCAGATATATCAAAAATCAACCAGGTCAAGGCATCTTATTAAGCAACAACAACAACAACATAGTGGCCTATTGTGATGTTGACTGGGCTGCATGCCCATATACTAGAAGATCTGTAACTGGTTATCTGATTAAACTTGGTAATTCACTGGTCTCTTGGAAGTCTAAGAAGCAAACAACTGTATCTAGATGCTCTGCTGAAGCTGAATACAGAAGTATTGCAGCTACTGTTGCTGAAATAGTTTGGCTACAAGGTCTACTGAAAGAAATTGGAATAGAATTCAACCTTCCAATTGACATCTACAGTGATAGCAAGGCTGCAATGCAGATTGCAGCTAATCCAGTGTATCATGAACTTACTAAGCACATTGAGATAGATTGTCACTTTATAAGGGGAAAAATCACACAAGGTTTGATAACTACTAAGTACATCAGCACCAAAGATCAACCAGCAGATTTACTTACTAAGGGGCTATATAAAGTGCATCACAACTATCTAAGTTCCAAGCTAGGAGTTTACAACATATTTACACTACCTAGCTTGAGGGGGAGTGTTGAGAAATAAAACTGTTAGAATGCAGGGGCAGTTTAGTCATTACATACTGAGTTAGTTAAAGTTAGTTAAGGGGGTTAAATAGTTTGTTAAGATCATTTTAGTTAGTTAAGCTCACTTAGTTAGATTATATAAATGATTCATCGTAACATTTTTGTAATCATTAAGATGAATAATACCTAATTCACTCTATTTGCTCTCTCTCTCTCTCTCTCTCTCTCTCTCTCTCTCTCTCTCTCTCTCTTCCAGTCATCCTCTTCCTCACCTCTGCTTATTCTCTTCTCTTCATCTTCCTCTTGTTCTATACAAATTGTCACTTTGTTAATAAAGATTTCACATACCGAAAACAAAATTAATAGAATAGTTTTATTTAATCTACATCAATATCTATACTATATTAAAAGCACGAATGCCTTTAGCAAAATGTCGTTCGTCTTTTTTACTCGTTAAAAATATATTATATATTGGATAAAATAGTAATTTAAGTTATTTTACTAAAATTTAGTGCTTCAAAATTAATTATATTGCGTATATTAAATACTTCCTTATTTAAAATAGGTAATCCTAATTTTTAGGATTTAAAAATCAATTATAAATTTTTTATCTTAAAGAATCATTAAAAGAAAGAAAAAACCACAAAATCGATTACTGAAATATTACCTTAAAGAATCATTAAAAGAAAGAAAAAATCACAAATATACTTTTACCACGTTTATTTTTCCATTCCTTTTATTAATAAGAGATATGTATAAAGAATCATTGAAAAGAAAGAAAAATCACAAACATACTTTTACCATGTTTGTTTTCCATTCCTTTTATTAATAAGAGATATGTGCCTATTATATTTTAAATTCTAGAATATTTAATAGAATTAATGTTTACCTACAACAAAAGACTATCTTAAAACTAATGCCTTTTTACATTTCAAACTTGATCTTTATAAACAAAAAAGAAAATTTAAAGTCCCTCCAAATTAATGTTAATTATTATAAGAAAATACTTCATTTAATTGTTTTTATAATTTTTAGAAGTTTAAAATTAATAAAACTTTTATTTATTAATTTTTTTCTTATTTGGACTGAAAGTCCTAATATTTAAAATTTTACTTTATATAGATCATGCATTTAAATTATGCGAGATGCCTGTACGGGATTGCCCTTTTTTTGATTCTAACCGTAAGTCATTCTCTAGAGTAAATATGTCATGGATGAGTCTTCTTTCAATTATAAATTCTCTCACAAGCTTGCTTTTGTATCCTTTTAAATGTTTTTTTATTTTATTTATTTCTATTTAATTTGATTTTGCAATCATATGAAAGTTGTAGATTATTAGTTACCTGATTATATATTTTCAGTTCTATCCTTCAGCACTATTTAGGATTTTAAGGACTTGTTCTTGCTTAAACTGAAAAGGAAGCATGATAACTTGTGAGTATAAATTTATAATAATATTAAATTGAAATAAATTTTAAGTTGAATTATTGACTTATGATTGATGATTTTTATGAGAACTTCTTTATTTATTGAGTTTTCATACACGATTAACATATATCATCTTTAGAAATTAATATTTTTATTTTATTATTCGGAAAAGGGTCAAAACTGCCCCTAGACTATTGGAGTTGGTACAATAATACCCTCCATCTCAAAAAATCTCTCCCCCCACCCCCTCCACCCTGCCCCCTCTAGTGTGTGCATTACTAACCTAAACTAAGACTCACTTAAATTAAAATAAACTCACCCACATTCTAAGACCCTTTTCCTCCGTTTCTTTCTCCTCTTTCTTTTAAAAATTATTCCACCAACTAGAACTCTCATACACCCATTTTTTCCCTAAGCAAACAAAACTCTCTCGTATAGTTAATCACCTTCCTCTTCTTATTTCTTTGTATATTAAATGTACACATCAATACTCCTATTTTTTTTCATCACAGAAATATCATTCATCATCAATTTTTCTTACTACACTTTACTGCTTCATACAATAAGCTCAATCAAGTGTTTATTTACAGTCACATTCACCAATAAATCGTATTCTCTCATATTCTCAGGCATATGATCTCAAATATTTCTCTTGATTTAACCATCTCTTTTTTAAAATTGGCGGTGTTGATATAACTTGAAGAGCATCCTCGTACAATGGCTTAATTTATGGACATGGTCGGATGTTCAGACTATGGTGAGCCAATGAAGAGAAAAAAGGCCGAGGTCCGAGCAGAGACCAAATAAATTATTGGTATAATCAAAATTGGATGCAGATTTGTCAGAAAATATACAACAAAAAATATTGCAAATGCTCAATGATCATTACTATTGGCAGAAAAATAACTTATTAAACCATAAAATCTTACAATGAAGAATTAATTTCAAAGAGTACCTGATTTCACTCAAAAAATTGATTTAATAAAAAATGTTAATTTAAAAATTAAATTAAGGTCGAAAAATCTGAGATAAAGAGGGAGATCTGTGGGTGTTGAAGGGTGAACATCTAAGGCGGAGTAGGTTAATAAGTGGATATGGGGTGAGGTTTTAATTTAAGCCAATAGGAAATTAACACATACTCCCTCCGGTTCACAATAAGTGTCCAGTTTACTTTTAGCACGCCCATTAAGGAAATACTAAATTCTATACAAAAATACCTACTATGACTAAACTACCTCTAATTAAATATTTAATGAGAGGAGTAAGAAAACTTTTTAGGGATATGTACATAGGGGTTATTTTGTAAAAACAAATTGAATTCTTTCTTGATTACATAACTGGACACTTATTTTGAACCAAAATGAAAAAATAAATTGGACACTTATTATGAACCGGAGGGAGTAATAAATAATAAATTCTTTTCTTAATCAAAATAGGGCTGTTAGTTTTTAGGGTATGAGTGAGCCAAAAAGTTGACGTTAGGGGCATGAATGGGCCAAATTTTTAACGGTGAGGGCAATTTTTACTAAATAGGTGAACAGAGGATATTTTTAAACTTCAGCAAGCAGTTTTGGCCCTTTTCCGTTTATTATTTAAACATAAATTTTAAATAAATTAGTACTCATTGAGCTAGTTAAATAAAAAGGTTTAGAAGTGAGAAAAAAAAAAAGAAAAAAGAAGAAGAAGTGCAATTCGCAAAAGAACAAAGGCCGGAAAGGAAAAAACAAAGCAAAGAAAAGTGGGTGGCGTGAGCGACATGCAATGGTTTTTGGTCTTGTCATAGTAGTTAGTAAAATAGGGTAATGTGACAAGTGTAAACTGTGTGTGTATGCGTGAGAGAAAGAGACTAATGCTTACTTGGGTCTTTTCGCTTACTCACTTCCCTATTCTCTCCATCTCGTACGCAGCTCCAAAATACCCAAAAGCTACACAGAAAGTGAAAGAATGACCAAGTTCATCAATCATCATTCTAATCAAATGTAATTATCCTTCTTTCTTGTTCCTGTTGTAGAAAGAGAGAGTTGTCGAATCTGCTTTTAAAAAATCCAAGCTTTCATCTTTTCTCTTGCTGGGTAAGTTGCTTTTATCATCTCATTCTCCTATTTGGATGCTATTGCTTATTCTCTCTGTGTGTGCTGTTGCTTTCGACTTCATTTTGATAATAATTGCTTGTTCCCTGAGTCTCCTTATTAGTCCTTTACATGCCTTCTTTATTTTCAAGTTTAAAAAGATGTGTCTTTTTTTGTTAATAAAAATATTAGGTGATTTACTCCCACATGGTTGGTAGAGTTACCTAGTACAGGGTGTTTGGATTGCTTTTAAGCTCTTTTTAGTTTTTTTTCCGCGTTTCGCAAAGTTAAAAAGTGATTAAAATAAGTTAAGAATTGCTTAAAACAAGCCAAAATCAATACCCCACTTATTGTTTTTTGGCTTAAAAACTATTTCTGCCGAAAAGCCACTTTTTTAAAGCCAATCCAAGCGGGCTCCTAGTACTTTTGTTGGCGGGGGAGATAGCAGGTACCTGATGGAATAAATGAGGTGCGATCAAGCTGGCTCGGACACCACCATCGTATCGACGTATATCTATTTGAGCAGTAAATTCGAGCAATTTCCAAGAGCGGCTTTGACGGTCTCAGTATTTTGCAGTTTTAGGTTGCTAAGACAGCTTTTTACATTTTTTTATTTAATTTAGCTCTTGATGGGAAGACTGAGATTGAAATAGGCTGAAGGTCATATTCAGAAGATGGGTGGCATTTGCTCTAGAAGATTTGCCGCTGAGAGCACAACAGATGGTGGCATTCCACATAGTAATGGTGCTGAAATTGTTTATCCGTCACATAGATTGCCCACACAACTAAATAGTGATCCTATGCAATATCCGGCTGGGGAAAGCACTGATAACCAACTAAGTGAATCAGCATTATTTTTTCCAGAGGTGAATACGATTTCCCGAGGGGCTCCTATGGATGATATTGATGATGGAATTCCAAGATTGTCCAGAGATTTATCAAATAAATCTAGATCAACAAGGTCAAAGCAAGTTGCAATTGCAAAGGTGAGTAGTGTTAGAGCTGCTTCATCAACAAAAATATACTTTTTCGGCTTTACTTTACTGTTAAAAAAATTGCAAATATGAGTAGTCAATCACATATGCTATGTTATTATCTTTGGCTATGACCTGGATGCATCTGTCTTTTCTTTCATTGTTAGTTCTGTCTGAAAATTCTCGATCAAAGAGTTTATAGAGATAAATATCCCCCTTTGACAATAAGCAAATATGAGGGGCGGAACCACTTATACAAATGGAAGATTTCTCAGGCAAATGGATAAATCAAATGTGAAATAGAGAAGAAGAAACCAAGTGAAGGAACAAAAGAAATGCTTTTATTGCTGTAGTGTTTGTTTTTTAGAGTATGTTATTTGAATCTAATAATGCAGGGAAACCCCGTTCGATTATTACAAGTTACTTGGTATTTTTTGCTTCATCTCTCGTAATTCCTCTCATAAAACTGTAGAATGCAATTTGATAAACCCCTGATGTCTACTACTCTTTATCACAACATCGGAAACTGCATGACACAGATTGTCATGGTATAGCCTCCAAAACGGATAAGTCTCAGTGGATTCTGTTAACTGGAATTTATTTATTTTTTCGCTTGAAAAGGTTTCAGAAGTAAGTTCACTGTTGGGGAGAGCTGGTACAGTGGGGTTCGGTAAAGCAGTAGATGTGTTGGACACACTGGGTAGCAGCATGACAAATTTAAATCTAAGTAGCGGTTTTGCGTCAAGCATGGCAACAAAGGGAATTACAATATCAATTCTGGCATTTGAAGTTGCAAACACCATTGTCAAGGGGGCCAATCTTATGCATTCCCTTTCACAAGAGAATATTAAGCATTTGAAGGAGGTGGTTCTTCCTTCAGAAGGTGTGCAGCTATTGGTATCAAACGATATGGATGAACTCTTGAGAATTGCTGCAGCAGACAAGAGGTGTGAAAGATTCTGAGATAGCTTATTGCCGTAAAGTAGATGCTACTTTCAGGTTTTGTGCGCAGAGTGTGAAATTCCTATTATTCTTGTAATATGACAGGGATGAACTGAAAATATTCTCCGGTGAAGTGGTTCGTTTTGGAAATCGCTGCAAAGATCCTCAATGGCACAGCTTGGACCGTTATTTTGAAAAGTACTTGCTATAAACTTTAGTCTATTGCTTGCTTGTCATCCGAACAGTGAAATGCGTGTTCATATCATTTATAGTGCATTTCGTTATATTTAGGTTGGAATCTGAACTGACACCTCATAAACAATTGAAAGAAGAAGCAGAGGCTTTAATGCAGCAGCTCATGATTTTGGTTCAATATACAGCTGTGAGTTTTATCTCATTCGTTCTACTTTTTTTTTCATCTCTTTGTGAGAAATAAAGGCACAGGAGAATATTATTAAATTGTCTTGCGGAGCTCAATTTTATAACCATACTTTACAACACACATAATACCTATTTTACGATGTGGGACACTAAGTATACTATATATAACACTCCCCCCAAGCTGGTGCATATGAATCATATGTACCGAGCTTGTTCATATGACTTCACAAACTTTGTAACAATATCTTCTAAGAGTATTTTTTTCTATGACGATCACGCAGTCTCAATGTGTTTAGTCCTCTCATAGAATACCGGATTTGATACAATATGAAGGGCAACTTGATTATCACACGCAAGTTTCATCTGATGGATTCCTCCAAATTTCAATTCTCTGAGCAATTGTTTGACCCAAACTAGCTCACATGTTGCATAGTCATTGTTCGATATTCTGCTTCTGCACTAGATCGAGCAACCACATTTTGTTTCTTGCTTTTCCAAGACACAAACTTGCCTCCTTTTTTTTGGATGAAGTAAGGGATATCATTAACGGCATCAAGTAGATGCAAATGAGTTTGTTAGCTCCATCACAATGTGCCCTATACTAAAGATAAGGAGCTAACAAAGTTCAATAACTTATCAATTACTCCAGCTATATAAAGATAAAAGACAAACTGAGAGTGTGATTAGGAGTTGATATTCCATCAAAACATCTTCGATTCTTTCTGTCCAGATACCCACCAAAAAACACAGGCAGGAATCATTTTCCAGATCTTCCTGATGGACCTACCAACTTTCCAAGAACTCCAGCACATGAAGGCATCCTTAATCCTTTCATGTCCAAAAACGGAACATGTTCCACATATCTGTAGCAACTGCACGATGTAGTAGGAGACTGTTGGTTTCTATGTTCTGATGGCACATGTAACATCTGTTGACAATGTGTATGTTCCTTCTCTGGAGATTGTCATGAGTCAAACATGCTTCATAGAGTGCTTTTCTAGCTGAAACAAATCACCTTAGGGGGTAATTTTGTTTTCCAGATTAATTTTCGTGGCCAATTATCCACCATCTCATTCTGGGCATAAAGAGTTGAATATCCTGCTTTAACAGAGTATAGACCATCTGCTTTATCACTCCATCTTAGTTTGTCTGAAATCTGTTCATTGGTTAATGCAATTCTCTAATCTTTCAAGTAATTTGAGTAGCTCTTCAAGCTCCCAATCTTGTAGGTTCCTTCTGAGCTGTGGGTTCCATGCATTGTCTGCTCTATTTTGTGAGATAGTGGAGTCTGGATTACTAGAGATAAGGAAAAAGATTAGGATAATCAGTTTGCAAAGCTGAATTCTCCAGCCACTTGTCTCTCCAAAACTTTATGTTTGTCCCATTACCAGCCTGCAACCTGCAGTTCTGGTAAAACAGTTTGGTTATGTTCTTCCACAATCCTATACCATATCTAGACGTAGACACAAAATTACCTCAAACTAAAACACAATATCTAGACGTAGAACATCTATCAGTAGGTGATCCTACCCAATCAGCATTTGTGTATCCAACTATTTGCTCATCGTCTCGATTTTCGAAGAATAGTCCTTTGCCTGGGGTGGATTTTATATACTGGAGAATGGGGATAGCTGCATCCCAAAGAGTCCATAAACTAACTTACAATACTCATAAGAAAGGAAATGACATGCCTAGTCACTATGAGGTAATTCAACTTACCAATCCATATCTTGCGGGATTGTTAAGAGGCTCCCCTGCCCTCGCAGAAGCTTTGCATTCCGATCTATATGAGTGTCAATGGGTCTACAACTTGTCATTCCGTATCCTCATAAATGTCTAAAGCATACTTTCTTTGGGAAATAACAATACCTGATCTAGATTGAACGACCTTAATACCTAAAAAATATTTCAATTTGCCAAGATCCTTAGTTTGGAAGTGCTAAAAGAGGTGTTACATCACATCCTGATATTGCTGATAATAACGATACTGTCAACATAAATCACCAAATAAATACACAGTTTGGGAGCATCCTGGCTAACACATGACAACCTTAACAAACGAGGTTTTCAGTTAGCAGATGTCATCTATGCAGAAGAAATCAGGAAATTGTAAGCCACTTGTTCATGCACTGCCTAGTGGCCACTGATATATGAAACATGTTCTACTGTATTTGGCTTAAGCTGGGTCATGCCACAGAATTTGAGAGAGGCACACATGAGTTGGACTCTTCGGAAAGTTGATAAGACCATAAAAAAATTTGGCTGATGATTCCTGCAGTTATTTTTGTTGTTTATGGACCGAGAGGAATAGAAGATGTTTTGATGGAATCTCAATTCCAAATTACTCGCTTAAGGCTAAATGTTTCCTCAATTTGTTTTGATGGACTAAGTTATCCCCTGGACATCTTTTGGAGTTCGTTAGCACTCTTGTTCTAGATTGACACATTGTATAGGGGCTAACAATTTCTTTTGTATTTTTGTTTCCTGTATGTATGCTCCTTGTAACTTTGCATCTTCTTGATGCCTTTTTTAACCTTACTTCATGACCAAAAAAAAAAAAAAAAAACTTCCGCTTCTAACCCTGCCTGTGGAGCATAGGCACTAATGACACTAATTGTCTCATTTCCAGAACAAGACTCAATGAGATAGTCCTTTTCCCAACTCTCTTTACCTCTACAACCTTGTCCTTACGTCCCCGTTCTACAATAATTCCCTCTCATTTCTGTTTTTGTCTACCCAACAATACCTTTATTTATAACCCGCATTGTTGTTGTTGTTGTCTATATCTCTAGTCCTTTGCCCTGTCCATTTAGTTTCCTGGAGGCATGCAATGTCAACTTCCTCATTTTTAAGGTTTCCACTAAATCTATTGACTTTTCTGTCAAAGAGCCTATGTTGTAGCTACTTACCCGAATCTAACTCTCTTATAGCTTCCTTATCCTCATCCGTCCATGAGGCGGGAACCCTTTTTGTTTTTGCACCACATCGGAGCACCAATGTGGGGGGACTAGCTTCTTTACACATGCGCGTCCATGATGGCTTATCCTTTTATAGTTTGCACCACATCCAGGTGTTGATGTGGGGGACTAACTTCTTTGCCCATACCTTTTCATGATGTGGGAACCCTAACTCATATCATACACACCCAGGCGGCGATTTGATGGAAGACCTAAGCTTATTCTGAGCATTCATTATGAATTGGCTAGTCTTATGCTGCTGCCAACCTACTGCAGCCCTCCTCTGTCATTCCGATTTGGGACCGGCATTGTGACTAAAACTCATACATGCGGAGTTAGAGAGCTTTGCGCCTATCACAAAAATAAAGAATAAAAAAAGCAAAAGCAAAAAAAGGAAAAAAGAAAAATTATAAAAGAAGCTGGACTGGAGGCTTTATTTGCTCATTAATTCATTTGCTGTAACTGGGGACATCTACTTGCATTCCACTTCCTTCAAACCAGATTAACCAGCTCAGGCTATAGTAAGGAGAATTTTTTGCTTTTTGCAGGAACTATACCATGAATGTCATGCATTGGACAGATTTGAACAAGATTATAGGCGTAAGGTTCAAGAAGACAATACTTCAAATCCTACTCAGAGAGGTATCCCATATCAACAGTTATTCCCTGTTAAGTTTGTTTTTCCTTAAAGCAGCTTGAAGCTCTATTTTCCATGTATGAACTCAATGTGTTTAGTGTTTGCCGTATTCTTATTGTCTACCAGCATAGCAATTTTTTTATGTTGTGGTGTCTTCAGAGCACTCCATATGTCGGTATGTATGGGGTTCATTGAACAGGTTACTAATGTAACAATGTTTAGTGAATGTTCACATGGGGAAATCTCAAAGGTCATGAGTAAAAAGGGGGGAATTTAGGAGGAGAATGGGAAGCAACTCTGGATTTGCATTTTATAATCCTTCTGAATAATCTCTTTTTTTAAGACTTCGTTTAGGGAATAGGCATCTCTCTGAAATAGAATCAAAAGCAAATCTCACACTTTCGTCCGTATATCAACTCTTGTACTGTAAGTTATAAAGACTTCAGTTAATCTATTCTAGAGAAAAAACGTGACTTCAAAACAAGACAAGTTGCCAGCAAAGATAAAAGTTAAATAAATGTACGTTGGTCAATACGCTAATTTGAAGCCTTAATATTGTTGGGAGACTTCTAATTATGGTTTGTTGCCTTCAGGTCCAATGACCAAGTACTCTTGTAAAAAAGTCTGATCTCTAAGTGTCCAAGCATTGGATACTAACATATTTTAATAGCCAAATATAATTATTAGAAGAGATTGTTTGCACTCGATATTGCATCAGTCTGGGAACAAGTCAAATTTTCTTTAGAAAAACTGAAAAACCGCAAATGTAAATCCTACTTTCTCATATCTGTGTCCTCGTCCTGCCTTGGGGCTATGCAGGGAAAATTGGAGCACCCCTGCTCAAAAATGACTTCAAGTTCATTTTGTGTAGAAGTCAAAAGAAGGCTTTGTAGCACAATTCAAGTTTTCCCCATGGGAATTGAGAGAATGGTGTAGAATGGACTATAGGAGGCAGTCAGGCAGTGACAGTTTGCAGTAGTTGCATAGCTGGTAAATTTTTTGGTTCTTGTTTGATCGTTGAACGGAAGATTAGGTGGTACAACCAGGGAAATCTCAACCAGGTGGAGGGAATTTATAGTGATCTATTGATTCTTCTTTTAGTCTTTGGTTGTAGACACCCAACATACTTCTCTATACTTTCAGGTGTGGTGAACCATAATTGTGGATCCTTTAGTTTTTAGTTCTTTCTAAAATAAACTGACAGGTTGTGGGTTTTGGCGTTGATTACTTAGTCTTCATGAGTTGTGAGTAGTTTTTACTGAGTCACCTCCTTTCAGAATCTTTTCCTCTCAGACCAGTCCGTAATAACTATAGACTATTTTGTCTGGTGATCTAAAGAATTTCTTGTTGAGCATGTGGGGTTATTAGATGATCGCTTGAAAATTAATCACTTTGCAGATCAATATTGGTTTTGTGGTTCACAAGATTAAATTTTTCAATGTAACTACCAAGGTAAAATGATTTAAATCAGATCCTGATTAAGGCAGGTTAATTCAAACTCTTAGTCCAAAAAAGATGTTAGGTTTGATATAGACTAGCACCTGAGTGTTTCTTAATCCTCTTTGTTTCTTGTGCATTCTTGCCTTCTTTTTCTTTTCCTTTTCTTTTTCTCAATTGCTGCATGTCTGGTATAATATTCTGTGTTTAATTTTGCGTAGGAGATAGCCTTCCAATTTTAAGGACAGAGTTGAAAAGTCAAAGGAAGCATGTCAAAAGCTTGAAAAAGAAATCCCTCTGGTTCAAGATATTGGAAGAGGTAGCAAGTCAATGGTGATTTATGATCTCTTTTGTTTTTGAAACTAACAATGGTAATTTGATTTCTACTTGGTGGGCTTGTTACATGATACATATTTTATATAGCATGAGATGGTTAAACTGTGTTAGATAAATTTATCAGATTTCTTTGAATTGATCAATCTTACACTCGTAATTGAAGGTAACGGAGAAGCTAGTGGACATTGTGCATTTCCTTCATCTGGAGATCCATGCTGCATTTGGCTACGCGGGTAATGCATTAGAAACTTCAATTTAACTTCTCTTGTGGTGCTTTGTTGCTGTCATGTCTGCGATAGTTGGACGAGTGATTGCTGTTATATGATGTTTTTTTTTCCACTAATGTTTGTAGTCATGTTTTGTTGTATATCCTGAGAGATTCATTTTTCGATGAAACTTTCTATGTTAAATTGTTGATAAGTATGACGAAACTATACCTCGATTTGATTTTATCTAACTAGTGGGAGCTTAGTGGACTGGGCTGTCCTTTTTTTATGCTTGGCGTGAAGGTATGTACTACCAGTGATACCTATCAAGTTATCTGTTGAAACAGATGGTTTCTGCTGTTGAAGCACGTCCAGTGATCTAGGGGAATCATTGGTCTTGAATGAATTTTGGGTAATCTGCTACTAGTATTGCAGATAACAGAACTATAGTTTCTAAAGATTTTGCTTATTGCTCAATACTTGTGTGTGATGTTACAGTTAGACTAATTGTACAACTAATGAGTTGATCCAATGGTCCTTCTGAAATGGCGTATTATTTATTTGGAGGATAGAAACCCATGGAACTCACTTGTGAACGTTTTTGTTTAATCATAATAATTTTGCATTACTGTGCTGATTTTGCACAACATATCTAGTTAAAATTGTATCAGCCTGTCTTGGCTAGACTGCACATGGTTTAGTGACTAGATTGGCAAGTTTGTGGTATCATTATTACCGTAGTCTTGATGACCCATGCAGATGGAGATAGACCTGTGAAAAACAACCACGAGAGGTTGGGATCTGCTGGTCTTGCATTGCATTATGCAAATATAATCACTCAGATTGATATACTCGTAAGCATCCCACGCCCATTATTTTAAAAATCACTGTTATTTTCAGCACATTTGCTCTTAAGTATTTTGTCTTTACTTCCATCCTTCCATCCAACCTACTTTTGTTCTCTATTGGTAATGTGAGGTTATGGAATGTGGAACACAAGTCCTGTTCTTTCTCTAGCTAGCTAAGACACCTTTTCGGTGTACATATCAACAACCCTCCTCTATGCTGGTATATGCTCTCATTGTGCTTCAAGACTCCCAGAAGAAATTGGATTGAAGCTCACCAACCTGCCATTGCTTTTGTGAATTTCAAATCTTTGCTTGAATTTGATATCTGCTAACCTTTAGTACTTTTTGACATGCTAATGGGCAATTGAACCTTTACATTAGTAATTCATCTGGAAATTTCCTCTTTACTTTTATGCAAAATCTTTGTCCTTCAATTTGTTACTTAGGTTCTTTTTTTCATCTTTATTCTGTTATAACAGTTTTGGAACATTAAGAATTACACTTATTTCACTTGCTAAAGCGCACCTTTTGATTCCTTTGATGACAACGCTAGTTCGTTGGTAGTCTTATATACATTTTTCCATTTCCTGTAGACATCCCCAGAGAGTTCAATAACAAAAAAGTTCAAATTCATTTTGAAGTGCTTATGTTCCTCTAATGTTGACTATTGAGTTAAATATTTGATCCATAACTACTCAGCATTTAGAAGTCCATAATTGTCTAGCTATTTTGCCCCTACTTTCTTACTGAGATTACCAAATTCCTCGTGTTCATTATGTTGATCTACTGTTTTGATTGAGCCAACATCAAGCGGTAAGTTGGCTGTTCTATTCCTTACTTTTGTAAGGTTAACTTGGTTAAAATAAATTGCACTAGTAGGACTAATTTGATCGGTCCAACAGAATCACCTTAGATGATTCAGGTGATGAGTCCAACATAATAGCTACTTTTGACTATAACCAGGGACCAAAGCATTTCAATCTTGCACCATTCCCCCCCTTCAATTCCTTTTTTTCCCCGTTTCACAGCCCTCTGAGCTTATTCTTTTGCCTGAATCAACAAATTTAACTTACTTTTCTGACGGTTAACAGTACCTATAATCTTTCCTACTTGGAAGTTTCCTTTTTTTTTTTTGGGG